ACACGGTTTAACATGGAAGCCAAGTTTTCCCATGTTCTTATTCTTCGTTTCTTCGGGGCTTTATTCTATGCAATGGAGAGTAACTGAAAAATAAGAGCAACCAGACTTCTTAGCTGAAAACCACATTTGATCTTTTCTGCCCACATTTACCTCTTACTCAATATTACACCCGTATGATCATTACAAGACCTGAATACACTCTGAACATGGCAAAAGTATATCGGCCCCTTCGCATGCCTGCGATAATTTTAAAAACCTAATAAAGTGATTTGCAAATACCCAGAAGAGGGATCACAGGTGAGACATGGGCTAAATTCAGAAAGTGCCCTGAAACCGCCTTTACAGATATATAAATAATGAGAGAAATCTAACACGACTGACTCATCTTGCTTCTAACCTCACGGGCTAAGATTTTGTGTTGTCGTTTTCTTATTCTAGCACAGAGGCTAGGATAACTACGAGGGATTTCGTGTTAACTTCAAGACAAGGGAAACTGACCCCACCCCCTCCTGGGAACCAACGAAGCCGCTCAGAGTTTCAGACGCTCCTGTGATTTCATCCCCAGCCGGTCAATTGTTTGTTTCCCAGCCCCCTGCCGCCAAAATACCGTTTAAAACCCTCGACCCCGAATTCTCAGGGAGACAGGTCTGAGACCCTGTTCTGGTTTGGCCAGCCCTGCACTTATTAACCTCTTTTTTGCTGCAACAGCGTTTCTCATTGGTTCTTTCCGGGCAGCCAGCGAGAACCCGTTGGGTCGGGACAGGCGCCCGCGCGGCAGCTGCACCACTGCGGAGCCCAGTCGCCCCGCTCACCCGTGAGGGCCCTTTCTCCTGGAAAAGCCGCTCCGCCCTGCTGGCCCCCACGGCGCCGCGCGCCCAGAGCCCAAGGCGGCGAGGGACCCAGACCGCGAGGCGGAAATGAGGGGCGCCGCCGCGCGCCGGGGGCGCGTCTCCCCTTCGCTCCCCGTCGCTCCCACTAGGCTCCGCGCCGCCACCACGCGCCGCGCTCCTCTTTCCAGAGGCGGCCCTCCAAGGCGGGGACCACTCACCCGCTTCCCCGCAACCCTCGTCCACTCCTTGGCCTGGCAACCAGCGGCTTCCGCGGGGCGGGCCCTGCGGGTCGTCTCTCGGGTTGCGGGTGAAGGAAGCCGCCTGGGTCTGGCGGGAGGCGCTGTTCTTGGAGTAGCCGGGCCTACGAAGAGCACGTTTTAAAGCTGTCGTTCCACGTTGCAGTGGAACAATGCTAATAATATTGAGGGAAAGTATCTCCCACTAACTGAGTTCTGTCTGCAGGTTAAGTGAAAGCCTATGTAGATAAATTTCATGGGCACAGCACTCAGTGCTAGCTAGCACTTACTAGCTGTGTGACCATGGGCAATTGTGGAAGGCAGGATAATGCCCCGCCTCAGGATGCCCACATCCTACTCCCTGGAACCTGTGCGTTTGTTCTCTTGCTTGGCAAAGGGGATTAGGATTGCAGATAGAATTAAGGTTGCTAATCAGCTGACTTTAAAATAAGGAGATGATCTTGGAGTATGTGGTTGGGCCCAGTGTAATTACAAGGGTTCTCTAAAGTGGAAGGGGGCCCGAAAAGGTCAGAATCAGAAAGCTATATGAAGGTGGAGGAAGGGGCAACAGCCAAAGAATGCAGCTGGCCTCAAGAAGCTGGAAGAGGAGCAGGCATAGTGTCTCATGTTTGCAATCCCAGTGCTTTGGGAGGCAGAGGCGGGAGAGGAACACTCAAGCCCAGGAGTTCGAGATCAGCCTGGGTAACATAGTGATACCCTCCTCTCTACGAAAAATTAGCTAGACATGGCGGCGGGTGCTGTGGTTCCAGCTGTTCGGGGGACTGGGGCAGGAGGATCACTAGAGCTGGAGAGGGCCCATGATCCCACCACTGCAGTCCCGCTATGGTGACAGAACGAGACCCTGTTGCCAAAACAAAAAAAAAAAAAAAAGGAAAAGCTAGAAAAGGAGAAGGAAAAAAAAAATTGTTCCCCAGAGCTTCCAGAAGTAACAGTCCAGCTGACACCTTGGTTTTTTTTTTGTTTTTTTTTTTTTTTTTTTTTTTTGAAACAGGGTCTTGTTATGTTGCTACGACTGGTTTTGAGCTCCTGGGCTCAAGCGATCTGTCCACCTCAGCTTCCTGAGTGGCTGGGACTCCAGGGAAGCACCACCATGCATGCTGAAGCCTTGATTTTAACCCAGTGAGCTGTATTTCTGACCTCCAGAACTGTAAGGTAATAAATTCGTGTCGTTTTAGCCATTTAGGTTGTCATAGTTTGTTACAGAAGCCTTAGGAAACTAATACAGCAGAGTAACTAAATCCCTCTATATAAAAGTATAGAACCTACTTCATAGGATTATTGTGAACAATATCTGGTTACACTTTACTTGTAAGCGCTGAACATGTTCATTATAACGTGTCAACCAGAGTCACAGAGACTGACATCGAAGTAAATAAGTTTATTGGTAGTCTGAGAATTGCAGTTCAAGGAACACAGATTCCGGAAGCATCTGAATTGTGTCTTGACCAACTATTTTTGGGTAGGGTTTTTAAAGGAAGAAGTCAGTTCTCACTAGTTTATAACTTTCATAACCATTTTGAAGATAAAGCATTATCATGACAGTTCATTGTTTTCTAGGCAAAAGTCCTCGATGAAGGGATTTGAGAAAAGTTCTGTCCTCAGCAAAGTCCTTTTCATAAGTGGCAGCAATTTTGTCTGCAACATCAGCAAGTACATTCTACAGTTTGGCAGTTGTAAAATGGCATTCAGGAACAAAATGACTTTGCTCTGGCCAGCTCCAATTGCCTTCCTTCCACAATGTCAGAGTTAATGTACAACTATTCTGTAGTGTGGTGATAAGAGAAGGGAAATGCTACAAATCAACATTTGCAACATCTGCACTTTCTTTGTACTCTATACAAAGACTAGTTTCAATTAAAAACAAACAAGGCCAGGCACGGTGGCTCACGCCTGTAATCCCAGCACTTTGGGAGGCCGAGGTAGGCAGATCCCCTGAGGTCAGGAGTTGTGACCAGCCATGGCCTAGATGGTGAAACCCTGTCTCTACTAAAAATACAAAAATTAGCCAGACGTTGTGGCTGGCACCTGTAACCCCAACTACTTGGGAGGCTGAGGCACGAGAATCATTTGAACCTGGGAGGCGGAGCTTGCAGTGAACTGAGATCATGCCACTGCACTCCAGCCTGGGTGACAGAGCAAAACTCCGTCTCAAAAAACAAACAAACAAAAAACAGTACTATCCATAGCCATACCTGTACTCTGAATGCTGCTCTTGAGAACTGAGCAACAGACACAGATTTTTATCAGATTAAATTTGTAACAGCATCAGGGGAGAAGATGACAAAGGTGCCTAATGCTTTTCTTTCCCACCCAATGTTGGCAGTCATGAAAGGGACTCTTTCCCTTGTTCCATCAGTGTATTAGTTTGCCAGGGCTGCTGTAACAAAGTCCCACGAGCTAAATGAATGGTTTAAACAAATTTATTATCTCATACTTCTGGAGGCTAGAGGTCCAAAATAAAGGTGTTGACAGTGTTGTTTCTTCTGAGGGCTGGAAGGAAAAGATCTGTTCCAGGCTTCTATACTTGACTTGTAGATGGCCTTCTTCTCCCTCACAATGCCTTTCCTTTATGTGCCGTCTCTGAATGTAAATTTCCCCTTGTATAAGGACACCAGTCATATCAGATTGAGGGACCACCCTAACCCAGTGTGGCCTCATCTTAACTAATTACATCTGCAACAACCCTATTTCCAAATAAGATCACATTCTGAGGTACTGCACATTAGGACTCCAGCAGGTATTTTGCAGGGGATGCAATTCAACCTGTAACTCAGTAAGAATAGACTGGTGAGGGTAGGGGAGAAGGGATGGTGAGAGGTCTGGCCCCCTTTTTATGCAGCTGTTGCCAAGCTGTGGATACCCAGCCAGGAGAGCTTCTGGATACATACAGAAATATTTCTGGCAGCAACCAGAAATAAAACACCACTTCTCCTGAGATGACTGGGAGTTTTCATTCTGTATTAACTGCTTTGTAGTCTACAGTTATAGACTTTCTTATACTTTTTAACTTTGGTTTAAGAGCTACAAGATGACTCACTGAATATATTTCCAGGCATTAAAATAGATGATCTGTGACCCTCACCAGGATTGTTATGTTTGGTTTTTGTTTTGTCAAAGGAAAAAAAAAAAAAACGAAAAAAAAAAAAGAGTAGAGGAAGCCCTACAACAAAAAGCAATTGTTCCTTGCTTTTTATCTCCCCAGCCTCAGTCCCACTTCCAAAGGGCAACCACTTTGACCTTTGTGGTTTTAAATTCTCCTGATCTTCAACTGTATGAATAGGATTAAGCTGCTATTTTGTGACATTGACTCCTGCAAGGACTAATAAAAAGTCAGCTTAATTCACCTCCCTAAGGTGCACATGGTAGTTAACACCACAATTTTTAGTCCTATTGTTCACTTTAGTTAACTTTAATATCCTTAAACTTTTGTTTTTAGTTCTATTAAATATAGACAGCACCTCTTGGTTCTCCATTTCATGATAGGAGAAACTCCTACTTCCCTTGAACTCCCCACCTCTGCTTCTACCTCCATATTTCTTTAGAAATGAGGCCTCCCTCTGTTGCCCAGGCTGGATTCCCTCTGGTGCAATCATAGCTCATTGCAGCCTCAAACCTCTGTACCTCCAAACTTTTCAAAGCTGTACTCTTAGATTTCCACCACTGATAACATTTATATTCCCGTCTGTAACTAAGTCTTTTTTTTTTTTTTGAGATGGAGTCTCGCTCTGTTGCCAGGCTGGAGTGTAGTGGCACTGTCTCAGCTCACCGCAACCTCTGCCTCTGGGGTACAAGCGATTCTCCCATCTCAGCCTCCTGTGTAGCTGGGACTATAGGCGCACACCACCATGCCCAGATAATTTTTGTATTTCTAATAGAGACGGGGTTTCACCATGTTGACCAGGATGGTCTCGATATCTGCCTGCCTCGGCCTCCCAAAGTGCTGGGATTACAGGCATAAGCCACCACACCCGGCCTAAGTCTTCTATAAGTTGGTTCTAATAGACAATAACCAATAAGCAGCGTTAACATTATGAAAATGTTGGTCCACAGCAGAGCCAAGTAGTATGCTGTGATTGATTTTCCTCTGTGTAATCACAATGTCTCAACCCTGTGCTGCTCAGTTTCTCAAAATCATGGTTACTTTGTTGTTGTCGCTTTGCCTAGTACTTTGTTCTTGAAAGAAATCTGTGCCATCTTACCCATTCTATTTTCTTGGAATATTTTTCTTTTGAAAGCCCACTGATGACTCAGTTTAATTCATATTTGAATTATGATTTTCTTGTAGAGTCTTTCAGAAAATAAAATTTCTAGGTGCTTTTCTTATTTTCATTTTCTTTGCCTGAAGTATATCTTCAAGTTCTTCCAACTGTATGTTCCATGAAATACCTTTGTTTCCTGGATACTCCATTCTTGCTCAAATATGAACTTGTGGCTTAGTCAACCACAAAACTGACATTCTGGGTCACATCTGCAGCTGCCTGAATCCCATGGCTTCCTCAGGATACTCTGCTGTTTTACTGATGGAGTGCATGCTCTAATAACTCCTCATGAAAAGGTGCCTGGCAGGTAAGCTTTCTAAGTCTTTGCATGTGTAACAATGTCTTTATTTTGCCCTCGCAAGTAATTTGAGGTGTCTCAAGTTGAAAATCATTTTCCCCCTGAACTTTCAAGCTATTATTCCACCATTTTTAGTGCAGCTGATGATCAATCTAATGCCAGCATGCCTTGTTTCTTGTGGAAGTTTGTGTTCCCCTGTTTCTGGAAAGCTTTTGAATAGCTGGTCATTTATTGAACAAATTTGATTGAGCTCCTACTCTACGGCAGCCACAAGGGCTAGGACCTAGGGACACAATGGTGAAGATTAGATTATTTCTAATGAAGTTTCCCACATGTCCACCAAAGACAATGCTTGAGGCATCTTCCTTTTTCTCAGAGGCAGAGACCAAATTAGCTTAACTTAAATACAGAGATTTTATTTTATTTATTTATTTTTTGAGACAATCTTGCTCTGTCACCCAGACTGGAGTAAAGTAGCACAATTTTGGCTCACTGCAACCTCCACCTCCCAGGTTCAAGCAATTCTCCTGCCTCATCCTCCCAAGTAGTTGGGATTACAGGCGACAGCCACCAAGCCTGGCTGATTTTTGTATGTTTAGTGGAAGCCAGGTTTCACCATGTTGGCCAGGCTGGTCTCGAACTCCTGACCTCCGGTGATCCCCCTGCCTCGGCCTCCCAAAGTGCTGGGATTACAGGCGTAAGCCACCGCGCCCAGCCCAGAGATTTTAGTTAGAGCTTCAGAAAAGTGGGCTAGGTAGATAGTGAACATGTTAGATGCTGGTATTAGCTTGCTGCAATATTAATTTAGATGTGTGATAATGGAGAAGAAAATAATTTAACAGAAAATCTTTCTGTTCATAGTGTTTTCCTCTTCTTTCCACCCTTCTCATATCTGTTTTGGTCTGACACTATAGGGCACATCACTGTGAAATCAAAACAACCGAGCATGTACCCTTTGTCCTCAAAGGCTGGCATGCAGGCCTGTGAACTTGGAAAAAGAACAAAGCTTTCTGGTATAATAAACAAAGAAAATGAAGATTAAAAAGTCTGGTTTCCTCTTCCTGGCATCAGCAAATACCAGCTGTCAGAGAGCTCTGAGTAATCTACCCCTCCTATTCCTAAAAGGTAATTAAAACATTGCCAAAAGGAGCTATATTTTGATTTTCAATAAAAATGACACAAATGAAGTGGCAATGCAACAAATATGAGAGAAAAATTTTAAATTGTAGTATTTGCATTTGTGATGTTTTTCCCATCTAATTCCACTCTCTCCAATGGTCCCTGAAACATCACCAGCAGGCTGACATCCTGATAAACTCTAAAAGGAAGAAAGAAAACATAATCTAAAAGGCAGGCTGGGTGTGGCAGTTAGAGAGGTCACCATGAAAAAGAAGGAAAGTGCAGCTACTCAAGGGATACAGATAAGTCATTAGCGTCAAGGGTTGAAGGGAAGTATGTGAGATTGCAGACTGCCCATATAACTAATGACAGACTTCTGGTAAAGAACAAGACCTTTAGGTTCTTTTATTTAGCCCCTACTGCCAAACAAAGCAAGTTGCATGACCAGTCCTAACATTTCATCAAGCAGCAGGAAGCTTCCTTCCATTGGGAAAAACTAATAGAGGTGTCTCTTCATACCTTCTTATTAAAAAAAAAACGGGCCAGCTTTCTCCTGATGTTTCTGCTATTACAGAAGATTTGTAGGCCGGGTGTGGTGACTCACACCTGTAATCCCAGCACTTTGGGAGGCCAAGGCAGGCAGATCAACTGAGGTCAGGAGTTCAAGACCAGCCTGGCCAACATGGCCGAACTCCATCTCTACTAAAAATACAAAAATTAGTCGGACGTGGTGGCGGGCACCTGTCCAGCTACTCAGGAGGCTGAGGCACGAGAGTTGCTTGAACCCAGAAGGCAGAGGTTGCAGTGAGCCAAGATTGCGCCACTGCATTCCAGCTTGAGTGACAGAGTGAGACCCTGTCTCAAAAAAAAAAAAAAAAGACTTGTAAAGTTTGTGATGGCAGTAGAAAGAGCATGATATTTAGAATAATTATCCATGCATGTCCTAGCCAATCCTGTTACTCTCCCTGAACTTCAAATGTCTTGTCTGTGGCCAGGCACGGTGAGGCATGCTTGTAATCCCAGTATTTTGGGAGGCCAAGGTGGGGGGATCACAAGGTCAGGATTTCGAGACCAGCCTGGCCAACACAGTGAAACCCTGTCTCTTCTAAAAATACAAAAATTAGCAGGGCATGATGGTGGGCGCATGTAATCCCAGCTACTTGGGAGGCTGAGACAGGAGAATCACTTGAACCCGGGAGGCAGAGGTTGCAGTGAGCCAAGATCGCGCCACCGCACTCCAGCATAGATGACAGAGCTAGACTCTGTTGCGGGGGTGGAGGGGACTCTGTAAAGTGTAGAAGACTGAAAACGCAAACAAAAGGGATTCTAAATTTCTACAAAGGCTTATTTCCTCTATTTCCTTCTTTAACTCATACTTCTAATTTAAAAAGCTTTGCTGGGCGCTATAGCTGACACCTGTAATCCCTACACTTTGGGAGGCCAAGGCAGGTGGATCACAAGGTTAGGAGCTTGAGACTATCTTGGTCAATATGGTGAAACCCCGTCTCTACTAAAAATACAAAAATTAGCCGGGCATGGTGGCATGCGCCTGTAGTTACTTGGGAGGCCAAGGAAGAAGAATTGCTTGAAATCAGGAGGTGGAGGTTGCAGTGAGCTGAAATTGCGCCATTGCACTCCAGCCTGGCAACAGAGACCGTATCAAAAAAAAAAAAAAAAAAAAAAAAAGCTTAAACTGTAAAATTGTAAACTGTTCTACCTGCTTTATATATACCTAAAGTTAATTAATGCATTTTCTTTCTGAACAATATAATCAAGTTATGTTTAAGAACAACATCCATTCACCAGTTCCCCCGCTGAGGTCTCTGCTGCCAGTTTGGTTCAGGAACATGTAATCAGCATCCTGGTCCCAGGTAGTGGCATGGTCAGTACCTACTGCCCATTTCCTCAGAAGACAATACTGTCCTTTCCAAAACAGTTACTATTTATTTGCTCAGAACAGATGGCTCTTCATTTGACTCACTACCTGAACTACCAGCTTCTTACATTATCTTTTTAAAGCAGAATTAATTCATATAATTTTGTCAAGTCACCTGGACTCTAATCTGAAAGTTCTTCTTGAATATCTGTGGTATCACCATTTTTAAGTAGCTCAGCAGTCTAATGGTCATAACTAACTAAATCAGCCAAATATGAAACCTGTTTGTTGCTGTCATTGTAGGAGTCAAATTCTTAATGTATTTATAACTTAATAAATTGCAATTCAGCGTTATGACACCAAGTTAACTTTGCTCCATCCCTTTTTAGTTAAGGTTCCAGATTTCTGCTTCAGGTTGGAAACTGCCAATGCAATGTTCAGAGCATGTCCTACTCAAAAGTCACATCTTAACTTTCATAGCCACATGACAGACCAAGCCCCATTTGCTCTTGTTTACATTTTATCATTGTTATTAGTAATAAATCAATAAAAATTGAATAACAAAGGGAAAAGCTCAAGATAAATAATTTCTTCCTTGTGAATTCAAACACATGCATACACACACATCTTCCTCTGTGTGTGTTACTTCCTCCTCACATTCTGTGCTACGGTACAAATAGTTACACAAAAGTCTACAAAACACGAGTAGCAGACCCCAGCTGTGTTAAGCTCGGCTGATTCTCAGTCTAGACCACCAGATTCTCCACGCTAAGTATACTTGTGGTTTCATCCTCTTCATTTGACCCAAAATATCCTGGGAGGGCCAGCATCCTCTGCTCGGCCTGTGAGGCCAAATGACGTGTTGTAATAGAAGGCAGTCTCGGGGTGAGTGGGGAAGCTTTTGACGCTTGTCTTTTCTACACTGAGAAGGGCTCAGAGGACTGACCCTCTGGTAGCTATCTTTGGGGGATGTGGGAGAAGACTGCTTCCTTGAGACACTCTTGTGCCTGGGGGACGGTCCCCAATGAGCTCTGTGAGGCTCTGTTCTCTCAATTCCTGCCACTAATCCTGCCTGGCGATCTCCAAGGTCTGGTTTCCTCAAGGGCTGCCCCATGGGCCTTAATAAAATTTTAAATATACTCTGTCACACATACTATATTCTAGAGAAGAATCATTATATCAAAATCCTAGATTTGAATAACTTATTAAATAATCAGTAACTAAAACCAAGCAATCTATCACACAAAAAGGGGAAAAGGTAATATTCTGAGTTACAAATTTTTTACCATCTGATAAAAATAGAAGCCTAAAAGTTTAAATTTTTTCCTGGATTTAAATTTAAAGATAAATTTGTTTTTCAGTGAAATATCCTCAATAGCAATTTTACCAAAGAGGCTGTCTTCTGAAGGCCACCTCTGAAATAATTAGAGGATAAATGTCAATGGCATGATATTAAGATATTACCTGGCCAGGTGTGGTGGCTCACACCTGTAATCCCAGCACTTTGGGAGTCCAAGGCAGGTGGATCACGAGGTCAAGAGTTCGAGACAAGCCTGGCCCACATGTGAAACCCCATCTCTACTAAATATACAAAAAATTAGCTGGGCATGGTAGTGCGTGCCTAAATCCTAGCTACTCAGGAGGCTGAGGCAGGAGAATTGCTTGAACCCGGGAGGTGGAAGTCGCAGTGAGCCAAGATCACACCATTGCACTCCAGCTTGGGCAACAGGGTGAGACTCCACCTCAAAAAATAAAAAATAAAAAAAAAAAGAAAAGAAAGATATTATTCAAGAAAAGAACTTAGGGGCCAGGTGCAGTGGTTCACATCCGTGATGCCAGCACTTTGGGAGGCCAAGGCAGTAGATCACTTGAGGCTGGGAGTTCAGGGACCAGTCTGGGCAATGTACCAAGATCTCGTCTCAACAAAAGAAAATGTTTAACGAATTAGCTCAGTATGGTGGCACCTGCCTGTAGTCCCAGCTACTCAGGAGGCAGAGGCAGAAGGACAGCCTGAGCCCTGGAATTCAAGGCTGCAGTGAACTATGATGGTGCCATTGCACTCAAGCCTGGGTGACAGAGCAGGACTCCGTGCCGCCAGACCCGGAAAAAAGAAAAAAAAGAAAGGAATTTAGGCAGTTCTAAATAAAAACATCTCAGTATTTTCTATTGTTGAAAGAAAAAATATATTTTAAGTATATGTTAGTAAGCCAAGAGACTTTCTTAAATACTGTTAACATCTAGTACAATTTCCAGTAAAATTTAATTTTAGAACTTGCTTCAGAAGGAATTTCACTTTAATTGTAGATACTTGCTTATTCCAAAATATAATTATACAAAGGAATTAAAGTTTCTTAAAGAATAAAGTTACACTTAGAAACAAGATGGGATATAAAGCACACAGATACAGAGCTTTCATAGCATTCAATGCAGCCTATTCAGCTTGGCTGAAGAGTAAGATGTTCTCTAGTCAGTTAAATACAGTAAATTCCAAATGATATAAAAGGAATGTGAAATCCTTCAGTTTCATCTACACCTTGCCGTTATTTCAATCATCACTATTTTAAAATATGTTAAGTATAGATCTACTATCACATACTATGGTTAACAAAATAATAGAACTATAACTTTGTATTTAAAATTGAGTCGTATCTCTTCTATAAAATGTATAAATATAGAATTTTACTACTTATAAAGCTTACAATGAACTCAATTCAACAAATTAAACATCTACTATTTACAGTCCAAGCTCAACAAAAAGAGTAGCTATTGAATACCCTTTTCTTAGCACAGCAGTGGAATTAGATTGAGTTCGCAAGACTTTTTTGCATCGGCAACAGCAACTATGTAGAAAAAGATGAGTTTTTCGTCAGTTATGTACAGATCCTAGCAAATACACAAAGAATATGAATCAGTTTTAGATTTCTAAGTTTTCGAGTTTGTAGAAACACCAAATGGTTTTAAATTAGGAAAAGCTAATCCAAGACAGAATTCAAATAAATACTCTTGTACCTTCCTTTTGGCTTAACATTTAGCTTCATTTTTAAAGCTCT